CGGCGTGTGCGCCAATATAAACACGGTGGCCGGGGGCGGACCGTGTGCGCGTTCTTGCGGGTGCTCCCCCCGCGCGGTCCGCGATAATATGCGCGGCCGGGGCCTCTGCGCGCGGCGCGGGCCGGGCGCCGGGGCCGTTTCCCGATGAGCGCCAAACGGGCCGGTCCGTCCCCGGCCAAGGCTAGACTCGGCCCCGACATGACGTAGGGGCCCGGGGCCGGCCGGCCGGTGTGGCCTTCGAAGGGCCCGGGGCTGGCGGCGGGGCGGCTTTTTATTTTCCGCCGCGATCCGCGCGTCCCCCCGGCCCCGGGCGCGCGGGCATCCCCGACGCAACTGCAACCGGAGTCTCACCGGACCGGGGGGGGGGCGGGGCGGGGTGGGGCGGGGCGGGTGTCTCGCCCAGGGCCGGGCCTTCGGCCGGAGTTCCCCCCCCCCCGGCGGAGGGTGGGCAGCCGTGGTGTTGTGCCTCTGCCTCGGCCGGGCTCGGCTCCCGGAGCATGCCCCGGTGTGCGTCCGTGGGGGGGGCGGGCGCGGGCGGCGGGGACGGGCGGCGGGGACGGGCGGCAGGGCCGGCGCATTCCACCCCAAGGGGGAATGCCTTGCCGGCGCGCCCGGGGAAACGGCCATACTCGCCTCGCTGGCGGCCCCCGGGCGCCGGGGGGGGAAGGCCGTGCGGTGCTTTTGTGCATGTGCCCTCGTCGGACCCCGGGCGCCGGGGCTCTCGGCGAGCGCTTCGGCCTTCTGCCCGGGGGGGGGGGGCCGGTGCGCGGGCGGCTCACGCGCGGCGGGGCATGCCCTGCGGCGGGCGCGCTCGCCCGGGGGTGTTCGCGGCCGGCCGGCAGCGAACACCCGCCGACCGGCGAGCATGCGCTTAGCACGGCGCCGGAGCCGCGCCGGCGCGAAGAGCCGCGCATGCCGGCCATCGGACGCGCTTGGCGAGTGGCGTGACAGGCCCGGCGCGGCCGGGGCAGGGGACCCCGTACGCCGGCGCGCGCCGGGGGTGCGCCTGCGCGCGTGTTCCACACCCCATTCGTCGTCCCCCTTGACCGTGTACCCCGGGGCCGCGCGACTCCGGGCCAAGCCCCTGTGTTCCCCCCCCGCCCCGCCCCCCCCCCCCCCGGTGTGGCCCCTCCTTGGGGCCGCGGTCCGAACACGGCGGCCAGTCCGCTGACACGGGCCCGGCATGCGCGCGCGGGGACCGGCCGCGCCCGGCGGCGGTGGCTCCCTCCGGGCGCGCGCGTCCTGGTGCGTCCCCCCGGCCCCCGGCCTCCCAGGGCCAGCAGGCTGGGACACGCTTTCCTGTGAGGGGGACGGCCCTGGCGCCCGTCAGGCTCGGGGCGCGGCGAGACGGCATGGTGGTGCCGGTGCCCATGAGCGGGGGGGGGGGGTGCGTGTGTGTGTGTGTGCGTGTGTGTGCGCGTGTGTGCGTGTGTGGGCGGCCGCCGCGCGCATGTGAACGTCCCGCGCGCGGCCCATCCGGCGCGGGGTGACGCCTTTCCCCCCGAAGGGGCGGCGCCGGGGCTCGGGCGTCGTGTGCGCGTGTGTGCGTGTGTGGGCGGCCGCCGCGCGCATGTGAACGTCCCGCGCGCGGCCCATCCGGCGCGGGGTGACGCCTTTCCCCCCGAAGGGGCGGCGCCGGGGCTCGGGCGTCCCCGGGCTGGCGAACACCGGGCCTCGGGGCGGGCCGCGTGCCGCTGTCGCCGGTGTCGCCCCCGCGCGGGGGAGGCCCACCCGACAACCCCCGGCTGGGGGGAGTTACCCGGCGGCCTGCCGCGCACCGGCCTTGGACGCAGGCCCACCATCGGGGGGGGGGGCAGGCATAATGCACACCCACGCGCACCCAGCGTACATATGCTCGCGCACGGACGCGCGCGGGCCCGGGGGCCGGACCGCGCAGACGCAGGCCCAGGCCGGCGCGCCCCGGCGCCCCCTTGGAGGGCCCCCCGCGCGGGCGCGCCGCCGCCACGAAGGCACCCCGCACGCGAGGGCCCGAACACACAGGGGCTGGCGGTCTCCTAGGCTATTGTGACATGGCCGGGCCGCATGTCGGCGGCTGGGCATGTTCCCCCCCCCCCCCCCCCCCCCCCCCCCCCCCCCCCCCCCCCCCCCCCCCCCCCCCCCCTCCCCTCCCCCCCCCCCCCTTGCCCCCCCTTCCCCCCCCCCCGCCCTCTCCCTCGCCCGGCCGGCCGGCACAGGCCGCGATGCCCCCGTCGACCGGAGGCCGAGACTCCGCCGGGCGACGTTCACATGTGTGGCGCTGTGCTCGGTGGGCCCTCCTCCTGCCGGGCTTTTCCGCGCCACGAGGGCCCCCCCCCCGGTTCCCCGGGCGCCAGGGGAACGCCCGGCCGTTTGTCGGGGATTAAGCAGTCCGCCGCGGGCGCACCGGCGGCCCCTAGGGGGCGCCTCCGGCCGGCCTCCCGGCCCATCGGCCCCTCGGCGAGGCGCCCGGAAAACGACCTGCCGCGCCTCGGTCGCGAGTCCGCGTAGCCGCTTCCATCTTGCCCCCGCCCCGCCTGCTGGACGGGGAGGGGCCGCACGGACAGCCGCAGGAGGCGGAGGGGGCGTGCGACCGGCGCCGGCCGCGCGGGGGCGCCGGCACAGCGTGGCCCGGCAAGGCCCCCCCCCCCCCCCCAGCCCGGGCCGAGCCGGCCCTCCAAGGCAGCCCCCGCGCCGGGCGAGAGCGCCCACCCCCCCACCCCGACGCCGGGGAGGGTGCTCGCTCGGCGAATTCCAATGATTCACCCCGGCGCGTGCCTCGCCCCAGGGCCAGCAGTGGCCGGCCGATTGCCAGCGAACAACCGTTTGCCATGTTGAAAGGGGCACCCTGCCCTTGGGCGCACTCGCGCTGCGCCCCTGCCCCCCCCCGGCCTGGGGTGCGAGGCCGTCCAGTGCCGTCTGCCATTTCCTCCGGGCGAGGACGGTGGCGGCGGCGGCTGTGGCAGCGGCGGCGGCAGCGGCTGGGGCGGGCGCGCCGGGAGCGGTTCTGCCGCGGGACTCGCTCCGACGCCCGCCCGGGCATTGGCCCCTCCTCGCCGGCCTCGGCCCCCCTCCTGGCCGGCTAACGGTGTCGGCAGGGCGGATCCGCCCGCGCGGCCCCGCCGGGAGCCCGCTTCCGGAGAACCGCACCCCGAGCGCGCGCACACACACACACACAAGCACTCACACGGATACACGGGGGCCAGGCGCGCCCCGCCCCCCGCCCGCACCGCGTCGAATGGCAGCCACCCGGCTCGCGCCCGGGCCAAAACCCCAGTGTTTGCAGGTTGTTAAGCCTCCGCGCCTGGGCCCATCGTCTACGGCCCCCCCCCCTGTTCCTTTTCCGGGTTCCGTGCCCCCCTCGCACCATTGACCGGTGGCCGTTGGGCGCCCGCGCGGGCGTTATATCCGCCTGTCTCGCCGCCTCCTCCTCTCTCGCCACCCGGGGCAGGGGGTGTCGGGGCCCGGGTCTCGCCGTTGCACCGTGCCAGCGGCCCGCCCGGCCCCCCTCCCGACTGGCCTGCGTGCGGTGGCCTGTGTCGTACGCACGCGCGCGCGCGCGCGCACCATTCGGCCCCCCAGCTGCCTGCCCTCCCGATCGGGGCTGCCAGCTCCGTCTCACCCCCTCCAACAGCCGGGGGAGGGGAAGGGGGGGGGGGGCGAGGGCCTCACTCGCCAACAAGGCGGGAGCGCCGTCGCGACCGGACAAGAGACCGGCACATCACTTGGGAGGACGCCGCCCCCCTCGCCCCCCCCGTGAGGTCGGGTAGCAAGGCCGCGCCCCTCGCCAAGAAGCGCCCCCTCTTGGCGAAAATGGCAATGCCATTGCTTAATTCACCGAGCCGCGCCCCGGCCACATGCCGGGTTGTGCGCCGCACATGATACCCGGCCGTTGGATTTGAAATCCGCCCACGCCGACGTGGCGCCCACGGTCGCGGGCCCCGATCGCCGGCCGTGAACTGCCGACGTCCCGACGGAGCCCGGGCCGGGCCCCCTCCTCGCCCGCCGCCGGGTCCTCCCGTGAGGCAGGGTCACGATCGTGTCTCGCGTCCCCCCGCCCCCCCCCCCCCCCCGATGATGCCCGGGCCGGCGGCTCGGAGGTCTTTCGGTCGGGCAGGCCGGCCGCCGGCAGGCTCCGGGGGTGGTGTGCCAGCGGGGAAAGAAAGGGGGAAAATGAAAAAAGCCAGGTACCGACAGGCCACTTTCACCATGCCGCCCTCTCGCCCTCCGCCCTCTATTCCCCCGCCCGCTCCCTCTCGGTCTCTCCCCTTCGCTAGCTAGTTCTGCATCTCGCGTCCGCCCCCCCCCCCCCTGCACACGCACACGCACACGCACACGCACACGCACCGGAGCCCGCCGGCGCGCCAATGTCGCAGCGTCTCTTCCACCTGCCGGGGGCAGGGCGCCCGGTCACGGCCCCGCCAGCCCCCCTAGGGAATCATCCGTCCCTGACTCGCCCGGGATCGGCCGATGGCCCGGTGATGGCGCCGCCGGCGCCGCCGGCGCCGTTGTTGCACCCGACACATCGACCGGCCTCGGGTTCCTCGCTGCGATCGTCCTCCCCCTCCTGCGGGTCACTGGTGACCACCCTGCTCCCGGAGCCGGAGGCCATCACCTCCGGATCGCTGTTGGCCGAGCTGCAAGCCATCACCGCCGGGCCGGGCCCGGTCGCACGCCCGGGGTCGGCCGGGCCGGCCGGGCGAGCCGCCACGCTGGCGGCCGATGCCACCGCGCGGCCCAGCTCGGCTCCCTCGCGCCTGGCGGGCCCGGGCCGCGCGGCTCCCCTGCGCCTGGCCGTCCTGCAGGCTGCTTCGCCGGGTTCGGACCCTTCGGCGGGTGCCTCCGCCAGCCTTGACCTTGCCGGGTCTGTGGAGGAGGGGATTGCCGATGGCACGGCCGCCCCGGCCGGTGTCGTGGAATCTGCCGACCCGGCGGCCGGCCCGGGCCCCAGCGGCCCTGAGGCTGCCGACGCGCCGGCCCCCAAGGCCCCGGTGGATTCGGCTCTCTTCGAGCGTTTCCGCGCGAGCGAGCTCCTGGATCCTCTCTTCCTGCCGGCGCACCTGGAGCGGCTGATCCGTGCGTGTCGCCTCCTCCTTGCCCTGCTTCTCCTTGCCCTGTTTCTCCTTGCCCTGCTTCTCCTTGCCCTGCTTCTCCTTGCCCTGTTTCTCCTTGCCTTGCTTCTCCTTGCCTTGCTTCTACTTGCCCTGCTTCTCCTTGCCCTGCTTCTCCTTATCCCCCTCGCACGTGCTTACTGCCCGTTTTTCCACTCGCCCAATGGGCCTTGCGCTGTCGATCCCGGACGCCTGTTGTCCCGGGTCATTGCCAGGCATTTTCGTCGGGCTCGAGGCCGCCATCAGCTTCCGCCTCCTCCGACAGGAAACCCCGGTCTTCTCGCAGCTCCGGCCACCGATCGAGGCCACCGCGCAATGGTACGCGCGCGCGCGTGCGCGACATGCGCACATGCATGCCCAAGCCCAATAACGGGTCCTCGCCCAATTTGCTCCGCTCCAGGGTGCTGACCGACCCGCACAGCACCACATCCGACGCGGACGTCTTCGCCATCATGGCCATCTGGCCGCAGTGCCTGACCGTGCGACCGGTCTTCTTCCAGGGCCAACAAACCCTGCTTGTGCGCTTTGCCGACACGACGGCCACCACGGCGGCCACCACGGCGGCCACCACGGCGGCCACCACCGCCGCACCATCATCATCGCCGGCGGAAAGTAACCCAGGGCTGGGCCAACGCCGGGCAGATCGCTTTCGCGCGGTGGTCCGAGCCTTTTGGCTGGTGCGGGCCGGGCTCACTGAGGAGGACCTCTCGGACCCGGGGCTGGGCCGGGGGGTTCCCCAGGGCCCGAAGGCCCTGCTGGGCCACCACCCCCTGGATGACCCGAGCGGGGCGCTCACCCCCGGGCGCAGCCTGCTGGTGACCAGTGCGCAGCTGCTGCAGGAGGCGGCGCAGGCCCTGCGCGCTGACAGCCTGGCCCAGGCCAGCGTGTCGAATCACACGCTGCTGGGAGCACTGGGCGGCGACTCGGGCGTGCCAGCCAGCCGCAAGGGCGCCGGCCTGGATGGCCAGGCCCCCGGCACCCCGGGGAAGCGCCTGGCTCCGGGGGATTTCGCCGCGTCGCCGAGCAAGCGTTTTGCCGGGCCGCCAGCGGCCGGGGCCCGGGGCCCCGGGCCGGGGTCCATCTTTGCCGCGGCCACTGGCGCCGGCCCCCCGCCGGCCCCGGTGGCGGATGTCCGGCCGAAGGTCATTCTCGACGGCCGGCGGCGGCTGTATGAGCTGCAGCTCCGCGCGGGATCGCTCCTGGCGGCGGGGCCGCCGGCGCTGGCAGCCGGGGCCGGTGCCCGGCCGGGATCGAGCTCCGGCGAGGCGGCCGCGCCCACCGGGGCCCGGTCACTTTTGACCGGCCTCAGCCCGGCCGAGGAGTTGGCCCAGCGGCTCCGGCCGGCGAGACAGCCATCTTCCGAGCCGGCGGTCGCAGCCACCTCGGGCCCGCTGGCGCCGGCCGCAGCGCGCCCGGCCGTGGCCGGGGTGTACGCGGAGTTGCAGCGCCGGCGGCAGGAGCAGCGCGCCGCGCTGGATCACCGCCAGCACCAAGCGTCCCTGGGGTTAGCCATGTCGTCGGTGCTCCCAGGGCAGCCACTCGGCGGGGCTGGCAGCACCAGCAGCATGCTCAGCCTCTTCGGCATGTGAGCGGGGTGGGTGGGTGGGGGGGGACCTGTATGAGGCGCAAAAAAAAAGACAATAAAACGACAAAAAGTGTGACTGTCGGGTGTTCTTGTGTCCTTCTTTGTCCCCTGCGGTCTGGAGCCTCTCTCAGGCGCCTTGTCATTCCGGCCACCTGTCCCGAAAAGGGGGGGAGAGAGGGGCACCACATGGCGCGGAGTTGTGGCGCCGTGCACGGCGGGGTGGGG